GTGAAACATTTTTCGTCTCAGTGTCGTGCTCGTAGGCTGTGATTGGGAATATTTTAAGCACTTTGGCGTGGACAGGAATTCGTCATGGGTGTGGTTTTAAACAAATTATTTACTCACAGATACATACACGCACGCACACACGTATACACACATACACACACGTACACACACACGTAAACACACAAACACACACACACACTCACGCACACATGTATACATCTTACAATCTTACAGCTAAAAGCCATACCACTTGAATGCATCTGTCGCAAGTTAGGATAAAGGAAATCAGTAAACAGCCATGTTTGAGAAACTTGTTATTTTTATCTATGAAATGCAAGTTTGTCCTGTTATCGGATTAGGTCTTGTACCCGTTTTTTGTCCCGCCCCCCCCCCTTCGCCCACCTTACCCACCCTCAATTAAAACCATTGCCTTATCTGGTATGTCCATCGACACAGAATGTAGACACACCTCCATACGAACAATTTTACTAGGAAAATATTTTGGTTACAGCAAAACTAGTTTCGTTATCAGTATTAAAAAAAAAATAAAACCGTCCCCCCCTCTCCATAAATAACTTCTTCAACTTACAGCGTGTTATACAGTTACCTTGTTTTTACCAGAATATCTTACGATATGAAAGTGATGTACCACCGTAACCGCTATGACTATATAAGATTTATGTTATTACAGAAACCGTGATGACGATATAAAATAGATGTATTACCGTAACCATTACGACGATGTAAAATTGCTGTATTTCCTGGAATAAACCCACAGCTTATTATAATCAGTTTTCTAAGCGGTCCGGTGTTAGACTAATGGAATATAATCGCTACAGTACAAGCGTCGAACTGATTTTGTTTATCCTGCTACTCTAACTAGCTCTTCTAGTACATTCTCAACATAAGTGTCTTCATGAAACCCATTGTTTCTTTCTTCTTTCTGACTACCACTTTTTCAATATAAAATGTCTTCATGAAACTCTTTTTTACCCGGCATCTTTTTTACGACACGTCTCGAACAATGTTCCCTCTAAGGGGAAAAAGCTAGTGTGCAAAGTTTATTATGTGTGCGCGGTGTTCTTAAAGTCTTAAACAAGGTCATGTGTATTTCACAAAATGACTGCACGGCAGCTCAAAACTACTGCGCGGCCGCGCAACCGCGCAGTAGAGAGGGAACATTGGTCTCGAATCGCTTTTCATTTTTCACTTCAACAACATTTCTGTCGTCTTAATGGGTAGACCCCCCCCCCCCCACCTAACAACCTCTAACGTTACATTTCCTATGGCTACTCTTATCCTCCCCGTGTTTTAGATGCACCATATCCTCCTTATTTGTGGCCCTATCACTTATATTATAACAATCGTCAGCGATCGTCTCACTTTCCCCCACCCCCATCATATTAAATACCCCCCAACCCTCTGAAACTTTCTGTTTAATGCCCTACCTGCACGAACCATCCTCCCTCATCTCATGTTTGACTTCCCCTGCCATGTTGACCCGTCCCGATATCTGACCCTAGCACCACCCTCCGAGTCAGAATCCCCCCCCCCCCCCACCCTAGCATCACTCTCCGGGTCAGGTCAGAAAACCGCTGGCTTGCATGCATCTTTACTGAAGCCATCCATCATTCATCCACGGATCATGAGCCATCATTCATCCGTGGATTATGAGGGCCATAATGTCGACCCAAGTTTCCGTACCAATGGCCTGATTATCATCTTTTTTTAAAAGCTTCTCTGTAAATAATTTCGCAATCAAAGATGACGTTTCTACCTTTTTGTTTCTGAAAGCCCTTATGCATACAAGTACCAGATGAAAACGATTACTAAAGTAACAGCTAAAACAGAGAAAAGTTGTTTTGTTTTGTTTTTGTTTGGGTTTTTTTTTTTTTTTTTTTTTTTTGCAGTAGGTCCCCAGAAAAATATCAGATCACCAGGGCAACACACTGCTTTTAGTCCAGTATGGAGATCAATAAATCGATACCAATTTTACGACACTATCTTAGATTACAAAGGCTACACTAGACGGGTTGGTAGTTTTACAGACTTTGTTCAATTGGACCGAAAAGAAATTTATAGGCTACAAACAAAAGCGATTAAAATAAAAGAAACAAATAAACAAACCTTTTAAAATGTAAAAAATAACTCCAACACTATAAGCAAGAAATGATTTAGATAAGATCAGTAAACGGTCACAGATGAAGGTTATGACGTTATAAAATGTTACTTTTAGCTTTAGCTCTCTCCATTGTTTTATTATTTTATTGTTTGATTGTAATTGTCGGTTAAATACTTTAGTTTTATAATAGGAATTGCCCTAAAGCGGTCGGGTGTAGGTCTCCTAACTATACACACGTTTCAATCGTTAAGGATAAGTGTTCCAGTTTACGAGAGCTATCCCTGGTAGTACAGAGTTAATGTTGCATAGAGATCCCGCCCCCTCGTGTTGGGAGAGGTCAAGTGGAGTGAAGTAGATTTGAGTTGAGGCCGAGAGAATAGAGTGGGACGTTAGCCTTGTAACGATGTTGACGTGTTGTGTGGTAAGCAGCATTCCCTCTAGGGAAAAGTCTACTGTGCAACTTGTATTTTGTGTGCACGGTGTTCTAAAGTCTTATACATGGATATATGTATTTTACAAAAGGAATGCGCAGTAGGTTATACCTATCGTGCGGCCGCGCAACCGCGCAGCTTAGAGGGAACCCTGGTGGTAGGGCCGGCCACAAAAGCTGCTCGCTGTTGGTGGCCGAGTCGTAGCCACGTTGGTACCATCTATATCGAATCTAAACAACATATACTAAACGGAACTCGTGCTTTTGTTGTATACCTCATCAAATCAACCCTATAATCCATCAAATCAACCCTATAACCCATCAAATCAACCCTATAACCAATAAAAGCAACCATATAACCCATCAAATCAACCAACTTCATCACATTTTATCTTTCTTACTGTTATAAATACTCTCCATTCCTCCCTCTCCCCCCCCCCCCCCTCTCCACTGAAACCGATTCAATAGGTTTTTGAAGTTTTAAACTAACTTTCAACGTCCGCTTCAGTAAATAATAAATAGCTGTCAAACTAAAGTGTCGTATTACTGTAGGTGTAGACGTATTGCTAGCAGTGGCGGAACTAGAAAAAAAAGCCCTTGCTTAAAAATTGTTGGCCTATATATATATATATATATATATATATATATATAAAATTATATATATATATATAAAATTATATATATATATATATATATATATATATATATATATATATATATATATAAAATTATATATATATATATATATATATATATAAAATTATATATATATATATATAAAATTATATATATATATATATATATATATATATATATATATATATATATATATATATATATATATATATATATATATATATATATATATATATATATATATATATATATATATATATATATATATAAAATGAGTAGACTGTCTTACCAAGCTTTAATTAGAACTGTTTCCTAATTTAGTAATTTTAACTATTTCACTTTGAAGTATATTTATCGCCATAAGACGTGAAAACATATCGTCAAGACAATATGGTCAAACGTTTAAAAACCATTGAAGCTTGATTTGTGTAATGGTTTCCCGTGATAGTTTTATGGGTTTTTTTTTAATTTATATTATTAATTTTGAATATATTCCTTTTTGTAACTGTGTTATTCATTAGTATGTCTTATTGAAATAATAATTTACGGAAGCAATAACTTTTTAATTTGCTCAGTAAGATTATTATTTGAAATGTTGAACTATTTGAAGAAGGGCAATAAGTCATGGAAGTGGTTTGAAGGTGTGCCTATCTTTTACACTATGTGTATAGGTTATGCAGTGTTTCTTCCAGACTTTTTTCTCCGGGGGGGGGGGGGGGGCACGTGATATACACTGGTAAAAGTGTATTTTCTAAATTAATTTCATTTCATTCGTGGGGGAGGGGGGGGGGAGAGCCCCCCCCCCCCCCCCCCCCGAAGCGATGACTGTAAGAAACTCTGGTAGTGTGTGTTCGTTATTGTAGAACATTCACTGCTGTATTTGATCTGGGTTTTTATTTAAACCACCGTCAGGGTGCAAGAATTTTATTAAGGTCGGAATTTTTACGCATTGAACGCCCCCCCCCCCCACCCATTACCTGCGGCATGATAGTTCTGCCCCTGGACGCTAGCCATGTAAATACTTAAACCTTGAAAACAAGATTCCATCTAGACCAGTGAGTCTTAAACTGGGTTCGATTGAACCCCAGGGGTTCGAAGAGTCAGTCTCAGGGGTTCAGCGGAGGTCAAGACACACACCCGACTCAAATGATTCACGATATCGGATTTTATCAGTGCGGGCTAGTTCGGCGAATGCGCATATGAAACTGGTGGGGTTCGGTACCTCGAAAAAGGTTGGGAACCACTGACCTAGAGATACAGTGCAGGGGAACTGGGGTTTTAAGAAGCCAGAAAATAAAACGCAAACTTGTTGAAGTGGAGATTGTGTAAACAAATCGTGCTCGAAGCCGCTTAGCTGGGGCTCGCTAAACACTAGCGGGGATATACGGTTCCAGCTTTGAAATATTTACATCAGATTTGTCTCGTTGATTAGTGTCTGTTGACCTCGCTATTGTTGACTTGCTACCGTGGTAATTGATTAACTTGATCGTGTTCAGGGAACCGGAAAGTGGCTTTTATGTGGAGATCTGGGAGTGGATTTGTCGTAAAGTAATAATAGTGTTGTTGTGAAATGTTTGTGTCAGGGGTACAGGGTTGGTGGGTAAATGGGCACTGGGTACTGTTGGCGGGCACATGCGCAATTTTGGTGGGCAGATGGGCAGTGTTGGTGGGCAGTTGGGCAGTGTTGTAGGCAGATGGGCAGTGTTGGTGGGCAGTGTTGGTGGGCAGTTGGGCAGTGTTGGTGGGCAGTTGGGCAGTGTTGGTGGGCAGTTGGGCAGTGTTGGTGGGCAGTTGGGCAGTGTTGGTAGGCAGATGGGCTGTGCTATTGGGCAGATGGGCAGTGCTGGTGGGCAGATGTGCTGTTCTAGTGGGCAGATGGGCAGTGTTGTTGGGAAGATGGGCAGGGCTTTTGAGCAGATGGGCATTGTTGGTGGGCAGATGGGCTGTGCTAGTGGGCAGATGGGCAGTGTTGTTGGAAAGATGGGCAGGGCTTTTGAGCAGATGGGCATTGTTGGTGGGCAGATGGGCTGTGTTGGTGGGCAGATGGGCGGTTTATGTGGGCAGATGGGCAGTGTTGGTGGGCAGATGGGCAGTGTCGGTGGGCAGCTGGGCAGTATTGGTGGGCAGATGTGCTGTGCTAGTGGGCAGATGGGCGGTTTATGTGGGCAGATGGGCTGTGTTGGTGGGCAGATGGGCAGTGTTGGTGGGCAGATGTGCTGTGCTAGTGGGCAGATGGGCGGTTTATGTGGGCAGATGGGCAGTGTTGGTGGGCAGATGGGCAGTGTTGGTGGGCAGATGTGCTGTGCTAGTGGGCAGATGGGCGGTTTATGTGGGCAGATGGGCAGTGTTGGTGGGCAGATGGGCAGTGTTGGTAGGCAGATGGGCGGTTTAGGTTTGCAGATGGGCAGTGTTGGTGGGCAGATGGGCTGTGCTAATGACCAGATGGGCTGTGCTGGTGGGCAGATGGGCTGTGTTGGTGGGCAGATGGGCTGTGCTGGTGGGCAGATGGGCTGTGTTGGTGGGCAGATGGGCTGTGCTGGTGGGCAGATGGGCTGTGCTAGTGGTCAGATGGGCTGTTTTGGTGGGCAGATGGGCAGTACTAGTGGGCAGATGTGCTGTGCTAGTGGGCAGATGGGCTGTGTTGGTGGGCAGATGGGCTGTGCTGGTGGGCAGATGGGCTGTGCTAGTGGTCAGATGGGCTGTTTTGGTGGGCAGATGGGCAGTACTAGTGGGCAGATGTGCTGTGCTAGTGGGCAGATGGGCTGTGTTGGTGGGCAGATGGGCTGTGCTGGTGGGCAGATGGGCTGTGCTAGTGGTCAGATGGGCTGTTTTGGTGGGCAGATGGGCTGTGATGGTGGGCAGATGGGCTGTGCTAGTGGTCAGATGGGCTGTTTTGGTGGGCAGATGGGCTGTGCTATTGACCAGATGGGCAGTGTTGGTGGGTAGATGGGCAGTATCGTGTTGTCCCTGTGAGGTACAGGACCAACAACTGAGTTGACCAGGCCGTGACGTAGAACAATCAATAAAAACACTAAACTGTGTGCATCGATTTTATACCACGGGTCACTACCGTAGGATCGATATTTGCGGACGTGCATGTTTGTACAGGTTGATCATTGAATAGGTAAGATCACACCCATGTACTACAAGAAGTGTATTTTTACTCCAAATAAATAATGACAGAACAAAGATATTAGTACGATATAAAAAAATTGCATAAATATATAATTACTCAATTTTCTCAATATTCTCAATTTAAAAAAAAAAAGAAAAAGAAAAAATATATTACTACTTTTTATGTTTAAGTTATAATATACGCCAAAATAACTCATCTCGCATAAAATGCATCACAACTTTGTTAAGTTTAAAAATACGAACATAACTTTGTATTAAATGTGCTACCATCATGTTAATTGCTTCCTGTTTTTCCAGCAAAGAAAATCAATTTTCACGTTGGGGGTGGTGGGGGACACGAATGACGTCAGCTAATAGTAAAACAACCGTCTTCTAAAGACCCCAAAAGACAACATCAGGTACAAACAGTAGGCTTTGAGTTATAATAAACGTGCCTTATGGCTTTTAGAAGGGGGTGGGGGGGGTATTTGGATAAGGTTGTATTTCAAAATACTTCCAACTATTTACCAAACGTTCAGATCAGGTTAATTTTCGCTTTCCGTAAGCTCTTGAGCTAATGTTTTCTTTAATTAGCTCTTAAAGTTAAACTGATTGGGGTTCGATGGTGTGATTTAGTTCGGTCTAACTCTAAATATAATCACAAGTCCAGCTAGTCTTTAAGACTTCATGTATGAGCTAAACTCTAAATGTTTAACTAAGTCTGATTAGCCATTAAGACTTCATGTGTGAGCTTAGCCCTAAATGTTTAGCTTAGTCTGATTACCCATTAAGTTTTCACGTGTTAGCTTAGCTCTAAATGTTTAGCTAAGTCTGATTAGCCATTAAGACTTCATGTGTTAGCTTAGCTCTAAATGTTTAGCTAAGTTTAGCCATGAAGACTTCATGTGTTAGCTTAACTCTAAATGTTTAGCTAAGTTTAGCCATTATTATATTGTGTTTGATAATCTCGTAGAATTAAGCTTTATCTTAACAATGTGTTGAGTTTAAGTTCACTGTTGAGATAATGCTCCGTTCATTCGCTGTAAATATTTGGTTAAGTTTGATTAGTTAAGGATTGCAATCGTTCAGCGATGGGTGTAATGGCAAAGCGCTATTGAAGGAAAAAGCGATCCAATTCCATTTTTACAACGCAATGGTCTATGCTCGTACAATTATAAAGGCGCGCTTATCTCAAAAGTACTAGTGAAGTACTAAGAGAGTTTAGCCACGTAATATTTTACAGTAAAGACGATCTAAATTTTTTTAAAGTAATAAAATTATTCGAACGTCGATAAAAAAAAAGAATAATATAGTGAATAGATTGGCATACAACCCGGAAGTCTTTTTTTTTTAATTGAATCACTATTTAATTACACGTTTGCACTTTCAGACTTTTTTATTAGATCTATGTATAACTAGGCATAGGCCTACTGCCTAGCTTCGCTTAGGTTTTCAAAAAAGTTGAGAAATTGAATGATTAATTAATAGGTGATTGGCTGTTATGTTAAATGCTTATTTTTTTTTATTTGCAATAAAAAAAAGTTACAACATGTTTAACAGTAACTAGGGATAAGTTGAACATTAATTTACATCATGTCCAATATGTGATGGTTGATATAATAATACAGAAAGAAAAAATAATAACCTATAACGATATAACATAGATTTTTAATTTTTACAACCCGGAAGTCTCCTGTTCGAATCCGGGTACATGACGTGTACCTGACTCACTTTAGCAAATCAATAGCATTTATTTATATGGTTATCATATCTTTACAAATGAAGACATGTTTCAATGTAAACAAAATGGCGGATACCATCGAATCTCCTACACTGCAACAAACAGATAGTTTGTTAATATGTTAATATATGCTGCTGCACAGTACGATATATGATCCTATTTCTTACAAGTTTATCTTGTAATAACTCAACTCAAAACAAAAATTAGCGAAATATTTTTTACCCCGAGTGACCGACAATTTATATCATTACAACGGTGTCACATAATATTTTCAAGGAATTATCTCCCCTATCGTGTGCTTGCAAAAACAACGGAGCCTTGTTTCCCACTGAGGTGTTAAGTTCCCTACGGCGACGTCTCTTTGTCATTCATGTCCCCTACACCGGCCTGTCTCCAAGATCCAGCCGTTATAGACCATTATTCCACTTTATAAACTGTCCCCCAGAATATTTTCAATGAATTATCTCAGATTTATCTCCCCTATCGTATGCTTACTAGACAGGAGCCTTGGTTTCAACTAAGGTGTTTTGTTTCATAGGACGATGTCTCATTGTCAGTTCACGGCCCCCAAACGAGGCTCTCCACGATCCAGACGAAATACAAAACATTCTAACTTCGAATAGAATTTTTTTTTTACATTTTCAACCATTCTTACAGTTCTTTTATAGGGTTTCGTTCAGGCATTTCGTAACATGGCGGGGTCTTGGAGGGGAGGGGGGGTTGCATTTGAACTTGTAGGTGGGGTAACTATAAGAGTTGGTAAATGAAATATTTTTTTCTATACTATTTCGTCTGCTGAATGTTATGAAGAAGAGGAAGAGCCCCCCCCCCCCCCTCCTCCCCCGTCCCCCCCCCCCCCACCCCAATCAACTGTTCCCCGGGAGAGATTCCAGTTTGCTTTGAAGTCATGAATTTCTTTTCTTTTCTTGCAGACCCGGAAATCGTCAAACTCTCGTCTAAGGCGAGTCGTAATGCAGCATTCAACACACCATTTCTCAGGACCTCGGCAACAATACAATGATTGATTAGAGTGATCCACACTTTCTTTGATGCTGCGGCTTGAGATCGATAAGCTTGGTCACAAAATTATTGATTACTGACTTCCAGGATTTATGCTTCGTTTAATGAACGAGGTAGAAATGACGAAAATTCTTAAATTTAATCAGAAACTGATTGGCGGTTTGTGCTTTTCTGTCGCCATCTTACTTGTTTGTCTATACAAATATAATACAAAAGTGGAACTGGACATGAGGTTAGAAAAACACTCCTCGGATACACTCGCAGAAAATGGAGGCGGCGTTACGGGATTACCAGAAAGAAATCAAGGATTAAATACAACACATGTCTATGGACCAGGGGCGGCGTCGGGTGCTACCCACGGGGAGGGTACGCCCAGGCCGGGAGGTGGTGAGACAGTCGTGAAACAACAACCCAGTGGTGACACGCCTGCCGTGTCTCACCAGTCAAGCGGTGACTCGGCCCTGAGTGAGAAGCTGAGCAAACAGCTGGAGACACTCAAACAGCTGTTTGGTCCAGCCAACAACGATACCGACCTCAAGGACTTGTACGGGTGGCGGGGTCTAGGTCCTGAACAAGGTAGGTCGTGGTATGTAGGTCAAGGCAGGTCGTGGTACGTGGGTCAAGGTCGGCCGTGGTGTTTAGGTCAAGGTCGACCGTGGTATGTAGGTCAAGGTAGGACGTGGTATGTAGGTCAAGGTAGGCCGCGGTGTGTGGGTCATGGTAGGCCGTGGTATGCGGGTCAAGGTTGGTCGTGAGATATGGGTCAAGGTAGTACGTGGTGTGTAGGTCAAGGCAGGTCGTGGTATGTGTGTCAAGGCCGGTCGTGGTATGTAGGTCAAGGTCGGCCGTGGTGTTTAGGTCAAGGTAGGCCGTGGTGTGTGGGTCAAGGTAGGCATTGGTAAGTGAGACGTTGTAGGCCGTGGTATGTAGGTCAAGGTCGGTCGTGGTATGTGGGTCAAGGTTGGTCGTGATATATGGGTCAAGGTAGGCCGTGGTGTGTGCGTCATGGTAGGCCGCGTTGTGTGGGCCAAGGTCGGTCGTGGTATGTGGGTCAAGGTCGGTCGTGGTATGTGGGTCAAGGTCGGTCGTGGTATATGGGTCAAGGTAGGCTGTGGAATGTGGGTCATGGTAGGCCATGAGGGTGGGCCGTTGTATATGGGTCAAGTTATGCCGCGGTTTGTCGGTCAAGCTAGACCATGGTATGTGGGTCAAGGTAGACCTATTTTCTGTTTATGTGGGTCAAGAGGCTATTGTTGGTGTTTATGTGGGTTAAGCTTGACTGTTGTTGGTGTTTATATGGACTAGAGGTAAGGCATTTTTGCATTTAAAAATGTTTTTGCGTTTCATAAGACTTTATGTAATGCGTAATAGACGTTGATTAAAGTAGGCCTACTCAGTGTTGACCGTGCTCAGTCAATATTTTTAATGGAAAACCATGTTTATAAACAATTAAACTGGCATTTTGTAACGAAGGTAATAATCGACAAAAAAAACGTCATTTATTGATGAACCCTAACGTAATTTTTTGTTTAACTTTATATTACTTACGTATTGTATTTTGTAATAGAAAGGGAGGTAATTAGAAAAAATTATTTAGTATTAGTTTTTCTAGAGTTATGGTTACTAGTTGTTCACTCGCAGACTTGCCCTCCCTAGGTCTGTACAACTTCACCGTGGTGACCGCCATGATGGACATTGGCCGGGGGGCGTGGCCCAACCAGTCCCGCCCCTACAAGACCTACCTGCTGTATATGTTACGTCTGCTGATGATGGACATCAACCTGGTCCTGTTCGTTGACCCCCCGGCTGTGACCTTTGTGGAGTGGATGAGGCAGGGGAGGGAAAAACGGACGCACATTTTCGTCATGGGTTTTAAGGAGTTACCCTACTACAAGTAAACCAAAAAAAATATTATTTATTTTTATCATTTATGCATTTTTTATTTACTCATCATTGGTCCTAGCGACGTTAATCGAGGATATTTCTTAATTAGCCTTCAGCAAATCAGGATTAATCATCGTCTCATTGTGTCTATTGCACTCATAGTGTACGACAGAACCTACACGACATATTTGTTTTTTGATTCATTTGATTCATTGACCTCGGCATATGAAGGGATAGTTTGGTCAGCACTATGCCCAGCCATCTTTGTTTCCCTAACGCGAGTCAGGTACCCATCAGAGCTGGGTGGTCTCAGGGACGTTCCACTGATTTGAACCCGGATTCGAACTCGAGACTCTCGGGTTAGCAGTCTAGCTCGCTACCGCTAGGCCACAGATTTTTTTACTAATCCATTTTCAAGCCCATCCCTCACCTTTACCTATACTCAACTTGTCGAACCATTACAACAGAAGCAATGTAACCTCCCCCGCCCCCCCCCCCCCCCGGATCCTACCAGGCTCGGCCTAGATCTAATTTCCTCTCCCTTTCTCCAGATACAGAGATCGTATAGCAGAGATCATGAACAGCACGGAGTACAAGAAGGACAACGAGTTGGTCAGGGACAAGTTGTGTGAGTCATACATACCTGAGTACGACATTCTACAGTTGGCAAAAATATATTTCCTAGACAGGTAACAAAATATGGTAACACCACGTACATCTTCTAGGATTTTATATAAAACATTGATGAGACTATAGAATTGATGTATGTATATCCTAACTGTGGGAGAGTTGTGTAGACACATTGGTGATGACTAGTGCCTTCTCACTTGGACTTTGGCCACTTTACAATACAGGAGGTTTCCAGGCAATTAGATCCTGCATTTGTTTTCCTGTCCCCAATGTTGACCCAAGTTTGTTGTGTCATAACCCATGGAATATATGGGGTTAAAATAAGCTCAGCAACCTGAACATTTTGGTCAAGCGTAGCACCAGAGTAAAACTGCTGAAATTCAGTTACCTAATCGCGTTCGTGTGAATTGAGTCTTCTCAGCACTAATATGTACCTGACTCACCTTAGGTGAAGTAAAGGCAGCAGGGCACAGATATGTTTACACTATCCCCTCATGTGTCGTGATGACATAAACAGGCGAACGTTACTGTATCCAATTGACTGTCAGTTTTGAAAGGATAACTTTGAGCTTACTTGCAGGATTCTTCCCTTGTTTTTCTTTCAAGAAACATCGAGCATAAATATTTTATTATAAAGATCACCTAGGAAATATACATCATTGAATATTGTCGTTCAGAATCAAATAACTCCGCTATAATTACTATAATTTTTATATTTTTTATATATAACACATAACATATTTGACACAAAAACATAACAAGATATAATTTTCTGAGATGTTATAACATAAAATACCACATACAACATTTATGAAATCAATAAATAGATCCAATAAATTTTTTTCCCCACAGAACTGTCCGCGAAAACCCGTTTAAGACGTCCTACTTTATCTGGATGGATGGTGGATACGGTCATGGTGTGAATGTGTTTCCTGCGGATCACCTGTGGATACCCAAAGGATTATTCGAACATTCGGATAAACTCACATTCGTCGAACGCACCCCGGGAGTCAAACACTTCGAGGCCAAGAAAGACAAAATTCACAAGCTGAGCATCAACGTCCTGCCCGGGGGGTTCTGCGGTGGGGGGTCGGAGGTGATCAAGGAGATATACAAGAGGCAGCAGGAGCAGATGGAGGAGTGGATGCGGCAAGGGGTGGTGGACGACGACCAGACGATGAACATGTTGATTTTCTACAAGTACCCATCCATGTTCAACATCGTTAAGGGAGATTGGTTTGAGGCGTTTAAACTTTTTCACTCACCAAAACAAACATAGCCGAAATCACCCCAGTAGTTGGGATATATATAATTTCTTTTATTATTCAAAAACTTCGAAAATGAATCATTGCGAATATTTCTGATGACACAACATGGAATATTAACATCGTGAATTATTATGTAGAGTTTAAGACCCGTCCTTATTGGTTTGTTGTTGTTTTTTTTTTGGTTTTTTTTTTGTATTTTCGTAAAGGAAAAGCTTAAGTTCTTGAGATAGATTTCATATGCGAGAATAATTGATCCACTCTAATACATACAGAAAAAAATTTATTAAAAGGGTTTGGAACTTAATTGCTACATCAAAACAGCGATGTTAAACTGTCGGTCACGTGATTTTAACAATGAGAAAGATGTTGTATCTTTCTCTTTGATGTCCGTCTTTCAAATATTTTTTTCTCTAACTACAGATCATAAATCTTAAACCATTTTGTTTTTGTAAACAAACTCGCCGTGCCATGTTGTGAGCTAATTCCCATCAAGAATCAACCTCACCTACACAACGATGTGTAGATCAGTGTGTGATCTTCCTCTACCGGATTCTATTATCGTCGTTACAGTTCAACGAGCAGTATGTAAACAACGAGTTAAAAAACAGAAAGAAATTTAAGGGATTTTAAAGAGAAGAGACTATCATGGAGTTAAATGACTCATGCGTGAAAGCCGGAGTGTTCACATTTCTTAACAAAACATCCACTCAATGTTTTTGTGCAATTTTCTCTATTTTTTTTTTTAGAGAACGATAACTCTGTATTTTTAAACGTCACTAAAACATGGTAGTCTCCCTTATATTTTTCGTGCTGTGAGAGAAACTAGTTATTCGAAATCAATTTTGTCTAGATCTAGATCTATATGGGAAGCAATATTTTTTTTAAACTGGTAAAACTACACGATTCTATAAAATATTATTTTTAAGATGATGTAATTTAACGCTTATTAAGGTTATAGAAAAATTGTGAATGCGGAATATATCTATTAATTCCTTCTGATAATGGATTCTTCCAATAAAGTGTGTAACTGTATTGTTAGTGGTTATAAACTACTTGAAAAAAAAAACATAAGGCCACTAATAAATATTTTAACGAGTACAGTAACGATAAGCCAACTGTAGGCCCGAATATAACTCGAATAATCACAAAGCACCCCTGTTTTTAGAAAAGTCCCTTACGCTGTTCCGTGTTGATTAAATTCCTGGTCTAATTTATAAATTATGACCTCTCTCCTGTATTACTGTAAAGCTATACGTCCGTCCCCCCCCCCCCCCCCACCCCCCCCCCCCCCCCTATCCCATGTTCTAGTTATTCCTTAGCAAGCTGCCACGTTAAACAAACGACTACCAAAAAAAAATCAAAAAAAAATCGGCATAATCGTGGGAGGAATTGAGATTATCAGAACAGCCTGACGGTATATGGGTCACGTATGTTATCGATGTTAAAACTACACAATGTCTAGCTTTTTACCTTACGGCTGGCCGATCAGTTGAGTTTATGTGTTCCCGCGTTCGAAACGGATTTACTTGTCTCATAACAAAGTAAGTAGGCTTGATTAAGAAGCTTAATTGGAAAGCTCGTTAGCCGCGGGAAGTTTAAAACTTAGTTTATTAGTGTTTTGTTTATTAATATGAACGCCGTTGTTACATTATAAAACGCGAGATGAACTCACAAATGTTCAAACTGTGAGGGATCCTTGTGTATAAAACAAAGTCATGGTACGCTGGAGTGGGGAGGGGGGTGAGGGCAGGGGGTGCTTTTGAGCGGAAGATAGTGTGTGTTCAATTTGTTTTTAATTTGAAATAGTTATGACTTTTAAGAATAATTACGGTAGTGAAAAATTAGCATATGTATCTCATTTAAGGTGGGAGGGGGGGGGGGTTGTAACCACAGGTGACTGGGGGGAGGTGGGATGAGAACACGATTAAGTCATTGGTGGGCGGCGGCCCATAAAGTTAAAGTAGGTCCTGGTCATGTGAACACAAACACGTCAGTCAAAAGTCAACAACTCACTCAATGTTTTTTTTTTAATTCACCCACTCCAAATGTAGACGGATGTAGGCCTTGGAACATACAGCCGTCTGATTAAAATAAAACAATGTTATAAAACATGTTGAAATGTACCATACATTCGTAAACACACACATAGGCGCAAATCTATTGTCTCACGAGGCAAAATAAGATATATATATATATATATATATATATATATATATATATATATATATATATATATATAAATATATGCAATTCTAAAACTGTTCTATTTATTGTTAAAATCAATAATAATTGTTGCCATATAACTGCATAAATGGGTAAATAATACGATCACCGCTGAATTTTTAAATGCAAATATTTTGTTGACATGTCATGTTCCCTACAAAAATTACTAGATAATTAATGTTGGGCAAGTGGAGGCGTTGCATCATCTTGCATACCACCAACACGTTCAAATACCAACGATTCGTTCATGCTGCGTTAATAAAAAGCTTTCTGGTTACACATACCATATGTATACAAATGTAGCTTTTTAAAAATATGGACTTAAAAGTGCATAGTTTATAAATGCAGATCTCTAAGTCTTGTTGTTGTTTTTAAGTGCAGTAAATAAATAATGGCACCATAGTGATGAATGATATGGCGATTTTGTCTTGGAAATCAACGAACAAATCTTGGGCAGCAAGTTTATGATAGCCAGGTGTTGCCCATATATCAGACCCTCCTCCCTCACCACCCCTCCCTCACCATCCCTCCCTCTCCACACAGCCGATTCACCCAAATGGAGAGGTATAAACTAGGTGAACGGAAAAAAAGTCACAGGAAAAAAAAACCACAGAAAAAAAGTCAAATTTGTGCTAGGAAAAAAAGTCACGGAAAAAAAGTCACAATGGAAAAATTTTATCGAAAAAAAGTCACAGAAATAAAGTCAAAGAAAAAAAAAATCACAAAAATCTTTTTAGAAATATTTTGATTTATTTGTTAAGAATTGTAAAATGTATGTTTATTGTTGTGGGTTGTATTTTTAATACATAATTCATACTAAATATTTTTAGGTGAATCTTAAAAATTACTATGCGTTTACAGCCTACACACATTACATTACATTTAATTAATCCTAAGTTAATTTGCACTCTCTGAATATTTAATATATACAAGTATTAACAAATTCCATGCAAATATATATTTGTGACTTTTTTTCCTGCGACTTTTTTCCTGTGACTTTTTTCCTGCGACTTTTTTTCTGTGTTTTTTTTTCCTGTGTTTTTTTTTCCTGTGACTTCTTTTCCTACAATCATAAACTATACCATTTTGCATCAGCTTTGTCGCAGGAGCTTCTCAAAGGGAAAATTCGTTGCTAATCCTATCGCCTAAGGGGCTCCAGTTCTGTTTGATCTCATAGTTTTCTCTCCTAAATGGGTTGCTGTCCTCAGTCCTCATTTATAAAAGCTCAAGAGCTATAATGTAGGCTGTATGAAAAGAGCAACCACTACTCCGTCTCCACAGTTAATCCTTATGTTGATACATTCAATTGTGTTTATGATTATCCCCCCTTAAATAGTTTTACCCCTTTATTATTGTTTTTATTTATTGTTTTTTTTTTTTTAATTTAACTGCCTGTTGACCAACATGAATTGAATTTTTATAATGTCGTTGTAATGTTTGTATTATACAAGTTTTTATGATATCGGTTTGATAAACGTGTGTGAGAAATACAGCTACTGCGGACAGTTCAGATTGAATGAGTTTTTTATATTGCTAATTGTACATTTTTGAGAATATTATTTTCTTTACAAACTAAACTTATAACGTATTAAACAATTTTTATATAAATGTTTTAAAGGTGTATTTTACTTCGTGACCATATAAGAGGGTTGAGAAAACAACAATTTTGTTTTGTTCTTCAAACATTGAGGACCGTTGAACACATTATATAAAACATTGTGGCTGTCATAGAGCAATCTATATATTGGCCATCACGTTGCTTTAAATAAATGTCAGCTAGTGGTGTTATAACGGAGTCCATTGCTGCTGCTAGTGGGTTACCCCTCCCCCCCCCACCGTCTCCCACCTGAATTGAGACATATCGTAACTTGATATGAAGGCCTCCCCGTCCCACCTAGCTATGTGAGGCTAGGGCACCCCACCCCTCGCTGGGCTGCCAGTGTCAGGCAGGGGTTAGGTTTCCTCAGGGTGAAGCTCAGGTCGGTAGAATGAATTAAGATAGTCGAATGGTAGCCTTAGAAGCATGGGGACGAATTTTGTGTTGTAAGGTGTGGTAGGGCTGGCCGCTACTGACGACCAAGTTTCTCTTCTACTTAAGACAAGACCAAAACTATTAAACAAAACACCCATATATTAAAGTTAATGAGCTGAGATTGTGTCGATGTTTATTTTGAATAATCAAAAAATCTACTGTTGATGTGTCTAGTTCACCACACAACTGTATGACCTCTTACTGCAGTCATCCATGACATAAAACCATAGTACCAACTATACTAATCACGCCATGACGTTAAGCATGAGTACCCATCATTTATTTAAAAGAAAAAAATAATTTCTAATAAGCATAAGACAAGCAATCTACTTCAAAATCATGCGGTTCAATTGTAATATTGTAAACAGTCACTCAATTGTTAGTGTATCAAAATGTGGTTTCGGGGAAGTGGTTGGGGTGGGCTGGGGCAGAAATATATATATATATATATATATATATATATATATATATATATATATATATATATATATATATATATATGTGTGTGTGTGTGTGTGTGTGTATATGTGTGTGTGTGTGTGTGTAACTACACATATATGTCTATATATATATATGCCTAAATGCCTATATGCTTATATATATATATATATATATATATATATATATATATATATATATATATATATATATATATATATATATATATATATATGCCTATAGGGCTTGTAAGTAGGTCATAACTTCTCGCTCACGTACTATGCAGCAAGTAGATTTCGAGATCGCAGACTTACAAGCCCTATATATATATATATATATATATATATATATATATATATATATATATATATATATATATATATATATATATATATATATATATATATATATATATATATATATATATATATATGGCTGAAGTGCAATGGAAAATCTATACAATTGTACAAGAGGATTAGAGGGGATCAAATTC